CCCATAATAGAAGCATAACCACTGCTTTTTTCCTGTGGGGACGCAGGAGGACACATACCCTAAACATTTTGTGAATCTAAGTTTGGCCTCATTGAGGGGCAGTATTTCAATATGAGTAGGTAAATGACAGTACCCCTAAACATTTTTTAATAAAAAAAGCACTGAGCATAACCACCCAACCCCATCCCACTCCCACTCCCCCTCTCCCCCTTTTTGTTCTTTTTTATTTCCTTATTCTTCCTAATTGTTTAAACCAATTCATAAACCAAGAACTTATACATTGACCACTAATCATGAAACATGTTGTAGATATTTTCCCACATTTATTATGCTATTTTTTTGTGATATAAAAATGACATGAGAAAACTTGGTCTACTTGTTTGTATAACATGATTCTTGTTTATAAAACCCAATATATACATACATACATACATACATACATACATACAGTGGTACCTCGGGTTAAGAACTTAATTCGTTCCGGAGGTCCGTTCTTAACTTGAAACTGTTCTTAACCTGAGGTACCACCTTAGCTAATGGGGCCTCCTGCTGCCACCATGCCACAATCACACGATTTCTGTTCTCATCCTGAATCAAAGTTCTTAACCCGAGGTACTATTTCTGGATTAGCGGAGTCTGTAACCTGAAGCGTCTGTATCCTGAAGTGTCTGTAACCCAAGGTACCACTGTAAGAAGTCCAATGGAAGGCAAGAGGCAGATGGAACCAGATTTTGGTGTGGCACAGGGCACCACTGAAATTTGAGATGCCAAAGCCCACCACTGGTACAAGGGCATGCAAATCCCATCTACAGCACCAGCTTCCACTGTCCCTGGGACCTCAGTGCCCTTGACTGTTACAGTGGTTGACCATTCTATGTTTCCAAAAACCAGCTTCTATGTTCCCCACATGCTTGTTTCTATGATCAAGGTGCTACATGGCTTAGAATAAAACAAAATGTCAGTAAGAGATAACACTGGGCAATCACATGCAAATGTGAGTACATTTAATTTGGTATGGAAACATCCCGGTAAAAGGATTCAGATCTGCTAAACTCTTAATTTCCCAAATTAAGTCTTCAGCTACTTATATTATTATGTAAAAATTGTGGTGAGGTTTAAATTTCCACTTATATTCACTCCTTATTATGCACTGACACAATGAAGTGCCTCTTGACACTGAACTCCTGATGAGATTTCGTTCCTCCTTTGCTGACTACCTCTTTCTACTTATTAGGAATCTGACATTGTTCCACTACTGAAATGACAAAAAGTGGAGTTGAAAAATGGCGCTGAGGGGGCCATTCTGTTAGAGCAATTATAGGTGTGAAGACTTCATAGATGTTCGTCAAATGCAGGCTTTTGTTTTGCAGGTCGAATTTCCAAATTCCACTGAAATGTGAAGCTTGAGGTGGAGAGCTGTGGATCTCACACCTTTTGCAAAGCTGAAATGTTGTTGATGTTTCCTTCAAGGTTGAAAACGTCTTCTTTGACTTGCATAGGGAACAAGACACCCTTCAAAACTAAGATAAAAGTAGTGGTCACAGTAGAGGCTACTTCCTTATTGACTCAACATGCATTCTCCTCCCTCCTCCCCATCCCATGTGATGGGAATGCAATACAAAAAGCATGGCCATTCCTTACATTCCTTACTACAGGGAACCAGGCAGAGGGCCTTTTTGGTAGTGGCGCCCGCCCTGTGGAACGCCCTCCCATCAAATGTCAAAGAGATAAACAACTACCTGACATTTAGAAGACATCTGAAGGCAGCCCTGTTCAGGGAAGTTTTTAATGTGTGACATTTTAATGTATTTTTAATCTTTGTTGGAAGCCGCCCAGAGGAGGAAGCCCAGCCAGATGGGTGGGGTACAAATAATAAATTATTATATTTTTATTATTGCGTACAACGAACTTGGGTGAATTGCCTCAGTGCCAGATTGGTTATTTAGCACTGAGACATTACAACTTGATCGCAAATTACCTGGGAATCACGTTGGAAGGGAAACAAAGCACCACTGGAAGACCAAAAAACACACACAAAAAACCCCCAAAACACTGGAACAGCTGCTAAAGTAAAGTGCAGGCGAAAAAGACACTCCAGATTTCAGAATGTTGTAGGAGGTTTGGTGTACTTTTTCGAGCTGAACATTCAACACAGCCCAAATGTATAAAGAGCTTTAGAAGTAAATTGTTTAACACACCATGGAACACAATAGCAAACAGCACTGTTATCCAATGCATAGCTATTTTATTACCCTGCCATTTTCAGTCTATAAAGTAATTGTGTCTGTAATCTAAATAGAATTGTATTTCACTCCTTTTGCATAAAAGAATTTTGCTCTGATACAAAATGCACTAGAGAACTATATTCCTCCACTCAACAACCATCAACATTAATTTTACTTACAATACTTTAATCTCTCTCCTTAATCTCTAAAAACTACAAAGTGTATTTCATTATTTAGGTGCAATTAGAAAGCAAAAGCAATTTATTCATCTATTTAATTCCTCTCAGCAATGTTTAAGGATCTAAAAACAAATCAATCAATGTTGATGCTATCGGGTTTTTTATTTTAAAAAAAACCCTTAAAAGCAACACATTAACTGGTTTCATTCCTATTTGCAATGAAAACAAATTAATTAGCACATTCTTCCTTGCAAGAGATCAAAAGCAATTTCAGCAATAATTTCACTCTGATTTGTAATAAAAAATTAATTTGCCAAAGCTTTATTCTGAAATTCTGAAGCCATTCACTCATTAGCTTTATTTGAATTCACAGACAAGAACTCAAAGCAATTAAGAGACATGAACCACTGTAGGTACTCATATTCTAAAAGAATAATGTATACATTGCAGTACATCTATAGTTTTATGCACCAGTCATGAACTTAAACGGAATCCAAAAACCTAGTCCCAAAGGTAATATTAACTTGTGTATTACTATTCACAATTTTGAGATAATCAGCAAGTTGGGAGTTTGCTGTGGAACCCTATTGCTTTCTGCAACCCTTTCAAGCAAAACAGACACCCAATTCCTGTGAATCGTGATCATTATTACAGTCACACATAGCAAACTGTATCAGATGTGGGGAACTTCAGGTCCAGGTGTCAAATATGGCTTTCCAGAATTCTATGTCTGTTCCTCAGAACTATCACCAGACCACACTCCATCTTCCTAGGCCTCATCCCTCCATGACCCTGCTTGCCACTATGGAAACATTTTCTTGTCTGGAATATGTCCTTGAACCCTGATAATTCTGTAGCCTTATTGGAGTTCACCGATTGGGTCTGCGTTGCTCCGGGGCAGGAGGAAGGAAGTCAAATGACACCGAGGTTGGTTCAAAGAAAGAGTTTATTCTGCTCTCCAGATAGCAGAAGGCACTTGTGTGATCAAGTCCACAGCAAGTCCAAAGAAATGACAAGTTTCATGCAGTATATATATCCTCCAGGCACCCTCTCCCTCCTTCCCATATAAATCCAACCACGTCAGCCTATGTACGCAGGTTGACATCACATATGTTCTTGCTCTGGTATTCTTAACCATAAAAGGGAATTCCTTCCTGTACTTCTGACCATAAAAGGATCTTCCTCTTCCTACTCTTATCTTGGAGGAAGAGGTCATCATCTCCGAGAACACGCTTTGGTGTTGTTCCGGACTTAGGTCTGTGCTTCTTTCATGGTCAGCACATAAGATAAGGTACAGATGTGTCTTCTCTGTTCTACTGGTGCAGTCAGGGTCATCCCTGCCGTCACAAACTGATAAAGGAGAGGGCTCTGAGCACGGCTGGGTTTCTGTTTATACATTGACTCAGAGCTTAAGTTAATGGATTTTAGCTAAGGAAAAATAGGGATTTTGGTGCAGTTTCAAACTGCCTGCACAGTCAGTTTTGGGTTTGGGAAACCCATTCCTTCAGTTCCTCATGCTTTCCTGGCTGGAGGACAGAGAGCAGTGTGTGAATGTCTGAAGGCAATAAGAACTGATTCAAATATTCAGAAAGAGTACATTGTGTCTTCCCCAGTGTGACTGTGAAACCTGTAGCATGTATAAGAATATAGGAAGTTGCCTTATACTGAATCACATCATTGGTCCATCTAGATCAGGTGCGTCCAGCTCTATAGAGACTGTGATCTACTCCCAGTATAATAAAACTGGCAGTGGTCTACTCATTGTCATTGCCCATAGTTGCTGAGCTTTTTTTGGGGGGGGGGGAATAACTCAGTTGTTGAGCTTTTGGAGGAAAGAGCTGCATTAGATCCCTCGCCCAACAGTCACCCATTTCTTCTTCCCCCACTCTGCCGCAGACAAAGGGAATAAAACCTTTAACAGCACCAACAGCAACGATGAGACATAGAGCCAGGAGCAGGGCACGTCGCAATCACTCAGGAGCAGCCAGGTGATCTCTTTTTTAACTCCTGCAATCGACCTGGAGAACCCTAGAGATGAACCTGTAGATCGCGATCGACCTGTTGGACATGTCCGGAGTTCAGCCTACACTCGAGTAGGACCCTGTCAGAGACATATGCCCGACTGGCATGTTCCCTCCCTCCTGGTCGATCGTTCAGGGGCTTCAAAAGCTTTCTTCTGCCTGAACAGCACAGTGACCGATGCCAACCGACACCGGCACACTTAAGGATCCGCAGAGTTTGCGCAGTTGCATAATAGACCTCAGCAACTCAGCATTTTGGCTAATCTACTTTTATTTACATATAAACACACACGGAGCACTGCAACATGGCTCCCTCTCTCTCTAGCATCAGACAGCAAAGAGAAAAAGAACAAAGGACAATAGTCCCACTTCACGGAACACAGTAACACAAACATCCTGTCTCCGTCACTTCCCACTTTGTGGAGTCAAAACATATACCATCATGTGAAAGACAACACTCCCATGACTGCAATCACAGAGCAGGAATTCTAACAGGACATGCCTGCTCTAAAGCATTGGTACTGCCTACTCTGACTGACAGTCAGTCTCCAGAGTTTCAGGAGGATTCTTTATCTAGCCCTACCTTTAGAGACCAGGGGTTGAACCTGGTATTTCTGCATGCAAGGCACATGTTCTACCACTGAGCTGCAGAACATCCCTGTATGTTGCTACATGCACTTTTATGCCCAGAAAACAACAACATCACTATCTCCTCTGAACCCTCAAAAAAACAAACAACCCCACACCACTTCCTGTTTTAAATGAAGACAACACAAGGCCTCAAAGCAATTAAATACAACCAGAAGAGCAGCAAAACAAAAGCATGAAAGTTTTCAAGGAAGACACCAAGTAAAACCTGTTTCAGGATCAAGTCCCACAATGTGGGTTGAGGGTGCCACCTCTGAGGAGGCCCTTGGAAGGCAAGAATAGAATTGCCTCTGAGGGAGATCTTAGCAAATGGGCAGACTCATGAAGGAAGTAAAAAAGAAATAGCTTCATTTCTAATCTTTGGTGCTGAAATGGCTAACCTTATTTTGACGTGCAAATTAATGGCGCCTATTGTAATGAAACTCACCCGAGGTCAGTTTGGTGCTGTAGGCAGAATGCTGGAAGGAAGAGCCCTTCTCAGTTAGATGTCTTCTTGGGTGAATAACTCTTTGCCTCACGCCCCCTTATCTGTCACACAGAATTGTTGTGAGGACAGATGAGAATTTAAAGCATTCAGTATACTGTAGGATGCTACTGAAATATGTCCGAAGCATATGTCACCATACATATGTGGACACCAACCGATCCCAGCTGAATTTTGTAAATCATCAGGCCTATGCCAGCAGATGCTGACAATCAGATTCATGAGTTTCTCTCTTACGTTTTCAGACATTTGCTGCATTTCGGGTCCCCATTGTAACTGATACATAATAAGCATTTGAAGTTGCTTACCTATTAAATGCCCTTGCTTCTCACACAAATTGCCATTTCCTAGTGATGAAGTCAAATTGTCTAGTAAGGCTGAGAATTTGGGATGATCAATGCTTTAATTTCTGGGCATCCTTTTGGAGTGATTATTTGATATAGCCATTAAGATCAGGGACTGAGAACTGAAGTGTAGTTGCAAAGTTTCTGTGTGGAAGGAGGCAGATGAAAATTTCATGAGGCAGCCTTACAACAGCTGTGAGCAACAGCAGGCCCTCCATCTCCCTGCTGGCTTGTTCTTTACTTTCACTAAGGAGGCTATCTGGAGTGCTAGGACAAAAAAAAAGAATCCAAACCAAACACAACACTTTATAGAGGAGGAAAAAGATAACCGTCTCCCCCTGCCCCCATGCAACCTTTTCATTCATGCAATTGAAGAAGAAGAAGAAGAAGAAGAAGAAGAAGAAGAAGAAGAAGAAGAAGAAAACAACACTTTTATATGAGAAACAGAAAGGAGGAGGAACCTGATGACCATGGGCCAATCTGAAAAATACAAATATTTAGGTTACAAAACTATAAAAATAAAGAAAAAGTAAGTTTGCAAAACAATCATTACTATGTGATTAGGGTAGATCAATGTGTCAGTGTCCACTTATTCCCAGTGTAAATATGACATATTGGCAAAAGTCGGAAATTGCAAGATAACTTTACTGTATATATGTGTGCTTATCTGAAATATATATATATATGTATGTATGTATGTATTTGCAATATTTTGCTTCTATTTTGTAATAATTATGTTAAACTAATAAAAAAAGGAAATTGCAAGATAACTATAGCATGTACATGAAAATCGATTTCAGATTTGAAATCAGCATTGAAAGAACATATAAGAACAGTTGAAAAATCTCATGCAACAGAAAATGGAAAAAAAAAATTGTTCCCCAGTGATATCAGTGCTGCTGGTATAATCAAGTAATGCTAAACTGGAAGGCGAAAAGGAGCCAGAGAGCACAGCTGTCACTGTAGGTGTGAATATGGCAACCTGAAGATTCAGTTTGGGCATTGCTTTGTTGCTTCAGAACACTGCCCATTTTGATCCAAAGTGTCCGGTTCGGCTCAGGATCCAAGGCTGAGTCTACCTTTCAGGCTGGGGGATGAACCTTTATTTTAGTTCTCCCCCTGTACAACTGGGAAATCAAAAACAGCCATAGCTTTTTTCCTCCCTTTTGTCAGTAGTGGATGAAATCTGCCAACATATTTGCCCCTCTGGAGTGATTAATCCTGCCCAGTTACAGGCAATTGGGCAGGGCACCTTTCAAAACCATGTCTTCTGCTTCCCCAAAGGCCAAACCTCAAAATCTGGTCAAAGCTCTTTTTTTGAGAAAGATTTCTAGAGCCCTACACATGCAAACCTCTGCCAATGGGAAGCCCAAGTTCAAAGTCCTGTCTACTTGTGGTGGTTTTTGGAGGTCAAAATTAAGCCAGGATTCTTTTTCTGGTTTCTTTTCCAATTAATGCATTTTAGTGCTTGTATTCTGTTTTGCTCTGTTCTGTTCCACTGTATTCTGTGGGCAGCTTTAAGGCTTCTATATTTTTGACCATTTGTGCCATGCCTGTAAGGTGAACTGCATAATGCTATACATTCTATTTTTAAATAATGATTTTAAATAATGTTGCAGATGCACCATTAGACTGCACCCAAGCCCAGTCAATTTATGCATCTGGGCCTTTTTCTTTTTCATTCATATAGTTAGGACTTCAAGCACTCCTCAGCACCTAATATTATTGCCTATAATCGGCCCATGAAGAGTAGCTTCAGGCAGTTCAGATATGGTGACATAATGTGTGGAGCGACGAAGCTTTGCAATCATGAGGAGGTTATAGGTTACCCATGGCAAATTGGCAATGCAAAGTATTAGCTGTAAGAAAGTAATAGCAGTTAAATTACAAGTGGAAGATTAGCCGATAGAGGGGCCATGCTTTCATATATTCTGTATTACCTGCCAGATAAAACCAGTCCAAGAATATTATATTTGGGGTAGAAAATATACAGCAGGTAAAGGCCATATGAAATGTCACCAAAATACATCAGAGGCTCCGATCATTGCAGAAATTCTATCTTTAATGTTTATCCTTTCCTGCTATTACTTGTGCTTAAAAAACACACACAACTTTTTGTACCTTCTGTGAATCACATCCATTGGTTGCTGCAGAGAATGAAGGCAATGTTATGAATATAAGTAGAATGAAGCATTACATTGAGAATGAATGGTGAGTACTAAACCAACTTCACTGAAGTTTTGCATAAGTACCTGTGGTATTAGAAGGGGATATTTTGGGCAGTGGAATGCACTGATAAACTGTAATAGAGATGGGCAGCCTATGGCCTTCCAGATATTGTCTCTGACCATTGGTCCTGCTGGCTGGAGTTGCTGGAAGTCGGGCTGGCAACATCTGAAGGTCCACAGTTTTCTAATCTTTGCATTACAGCATCGTTGATAAGGAATATTGAAACATTAATATGGGTCTTTGTTTTGAACTAACAAATTTAACCTTTGTGAGAAATAGAATTCAAGAGAGTTAATGAGCACTCAGTCTTTACATTGTGGGTGCCCTTTGCGGGATCGCGCGTGGTGCTACAGTTCCCAGGGAGTTTACTGGCAAACAGGGGCTGGCTTGCCTCTCAGTGTTAATTTTTGGAGGTTCACGCCCAGCCTCAGTACTCAGGTTTCTTGCTGGGAGGTGGGGCCAGCCCCCTTTATAAATAGGGGGTGGAGCCGACAACAGCCAGGCAGTCAGCTCTGGAGATTCACCCTCCCTTTGTTTAATGTTTCTTGTTTGCAGGTTAACTTTTTCTTCCTGTTTAGCAGGTGCTGCTAAGGTCTTTGACTGGTTGCTGTTGAAAGGACCGGGAAGAATTTTTCCTGCATTGTCTTCCCCGTAGCAATTCATCACAACTTTGGTGGTTATGGCCTTGGATGGAATCCTTTAGTCTTTTCTTCCCTATAATGGGGGGGGCATGAAGTGGTGACTCACCTCACTGCGGTGGCGATTCCAGGGTCCCCCTCTTAAAGGGGTTATATATATGGGTGTCACCGGCCATACACTGAAAGGTCTTCAGTGAACTACCCTGCATGTGGGGATATGGGCTGGGTTGCCTGCTACACTTACGTCTCACAGAACACCTCCATATCCCATTTACCCTGATGAGCCCCAGTTCCCCCCGGCTGGGGGGCTGGGAGGGATATACGCCCAAGGCCTAAGCCAAGGTCTTCCTACATTCTGAAGTTTAATAAAGTTGTGGCCTAATTTTAATTCCATAACACGATGTCAGAGTCTTTATTCCTTCCTTATGATCCCTGGGGGCTGGGGCTGTCGCTGCCTGGCCACGCAAAGGAAATTGCCTCTCTCTAAGATGGATGTGGAATAAACATTCCTAACAGAGACTACTTTTGAGCTTGTGTTGTAGGTTCCATCTCAAAGCATCTCTGTAGGTTAGACAAGGGATGGGCAATCTGTGACCCTTCAGATGTTGCTGAACTGCAACTTCTTCATCACTTAGCTGCTCAGGGCTGATAGGAATTGGAATCCAGTAAGTTCCCCATCCCTGAGTTAGACAGAACTCTTAAAAGGTAGAGCCCAATTTTCCCAAACACCAGATGAGGTTGTCATTGTACATCTGTGTCTCAAGAATACCACTTCCAGTAGTGTCACATGGTTCCGTGCTCCTGCAGGCAAGCAAACAAACAAATCCCCTGCCCAAAGCAACAAGTTTATTTTCTATCTGAAGGGACCTTTCTTCCACAGTGATATCATGTAAATATATAATACCATTTGCAGTATTCAGTCGTGTATGCTACCTCGTGTGTGTGTGTGTGTGTGTGTGTGTGTGTGCCTGGGTGAATTAGAGACTATGAACAAGTCTTTCTCGGTTTCGATCCTGACATTATCTTTCTTTAATTCACATTTCTTATTCTGTTCAGAAAAATCTCCTATGAAAGGAGACCAGCAGTGCTTCCCAGAAAATTATTTTGATGTCAATCTTGGCTCCAGATTCTTTCAACAATTGATGTGTGCTTTGGTGGCGGTAGGCAGAAGACAGAGCTGGCAGACGGTGTTCTGCATTATTATAGCAAACATTTTATGTTCTCACTGAGTGAAATTGAAATGAATGTTGGAAGTTTTGAAAGCTGTAAACTGTGTCACTATAAAAACAAGTTTGTAAGCCAACTGCCTTC